TGCTGCACCACGTCGGCTTCTCCATCAGCACAGAGGGACCCTGACTACACACAGCACCCCACTCCAGGCCTGGGGGTGTTCCGTTTTTCTTGTAGAAAGAGGACCTGCCAGGTCTCACAACTACTTGTTCCTTTTTTTTTTTTTTATTACTGGTCAAATAGAAAGCATTAAAGTTGAAATAGGAAAAAAAAAAAAAGTACATGAGAAAAAAAATAAAATTAAGGCCCTCCTCCAGACCTCCACCACGCCACAGGATTTCACTGGAGGGGCCGCTGGCACACAGGTAGCCTCAGCCCCCCTGGCCACAGATAGATTTTTCACATCAACAGAACACCGGTAAGAAAGTCTGTTCTTGTGGGCCAGGAACTTCATGGTTGTAAGAAATACTAAGCACTATTTGTCAGTAGGACGATGTCAGAGTAAGAATGCAAATAATCCCTAACAGCACTGGAGCATTAAGCAAAAAATTCTAGTGGAAGGCGAAAGCGCAGACGGAAGACTTTTGAAGTGCACCATTCGCCTCTGACACTAACGTGCTGAAACGTCCTTTCCATCCTTTTGCTTCACAGTTCTTCAGTTTAGTACACCTTTTCCTCTCACCCTTTCTTTACACAATGTGTTTCAGCTCATCAGACCTCAGCTGGAAAAAGGAGCTCACTTGCATTGAGAGCATCAGGTCAGGGCACATATACGGGCATCAGTATGCACAAACCTTCTGGACACCTCAGAAATTTCACAGTATTAAAAAGGCAGGAGGTGTATTTGTACAAGTGTTTTGTTCTGTTGGCATTCAAAGGAATACCATAATAGGCACACAACAGCACTTTTCAATGCTAGCCTTAACAGCAGACCCTTTTACTCACCTGGGATGCTTCTTCCCCAGACTGTACCTCTCAGGACAGTAACTGACAACAGAAGGGCTGACTCCGAGTGACACAACAAGGAAAAAAAAAGCTTTCCTCCAGCCTTCCTCCTGGCACAATAGCCAGCCACAGATGACCCTGGCGCTCGCTGTCCTGCACAAAAACAGGTTCCACTTGTAGGTCTACTTAAACTATACGTATGCAGACTGTACGGGGATCCTGACCGGCGCCGCGTGTCACTGCTGACTGAGCCCGGCGTCACGGGACCCCCGACACTTGGCTTCCCTGTACTGCTGTTCACTCCAAGCAACTCTCAAGCAGAGAAGGTGACAGCTCCTGAAGACGACTGTAAGGAAATTCTTGCTTGCCCTTTTCCCAATAAACCTTAACAGGGCAGCGACCCAGCGCAAAGCAAGACGTCACCTAGTAGAACAGAGCCACTCACTCTGAAATAAGCCTTCCCTGGGAGCCAGTTTTCATCAGTGAAGATCTACTAAAACTTCAAGTTAAGAGTCTCATTCTCAAACTAACACACACCAAGGATCTAAGTTCTGAAATGCCTTTTGCAGGCAATGGAAGGACCCAGAGGAACAGCAGCTCTGGGAGCGCTCGTGCAACAGAACAGAACAGAACAGAACTTGCTGCATCAACCCAACTTTAAGAGGAATTTTTAATAAATGCTGCAGCCTGATACATTTACCAGATTTACCAGACAAGTAGGGGAATTCAGTGCGGAGATGACTCTGAACGTGCCGAAAGGCTGTTTTCTCAGGCGCTTTTTGCTGAGAAGCCTTTCACAGAAGGAAAATGGAAACTTTTAATATCTGGTTGCAATTGACATATGCCTTCTCAAAAAAATCCAACACAGATTTGGAAAAAGCCCTCTGATAATGCCCGTTTTTTTTTATAGTGTACTTAAATTACACAAGTAGAAAAGTTATGCTTATTAATAGTTTAATGTATGAAGGAAACATCCAGATTTCTGAATATGAAGGTACATATCTCACATTAATTTAAGTCTACATAAAGTAGAGCCTCTATACTGACATATTGAAATTTACTTTCTGCTTAGCCATTTGTTATGTAAACAATTGTACATTTATTTGCCATTCTAAAACTTCAGGATCAAGTTTACATAATTTTGCTAAATTTCTGTGTTTGCTCAGAAGCAGTTTACAGTACTAAAACCAACCAGCCAAAGAACAGCTTCAACAGAAAGTTATGTCAAAAAAAAAAAAAAGAAAGGAAAGAATAAAGGCTAACTAAGTTGAAACGTATGATGGTGGGGAATGGGCGGTCACAATGTTCACAGAAAAAGGTCAGTTAGTAAGTTCTTCTGCAAAAAGCCTACACACTTCAGTCAAGCACATCAGTAGAATGATCTGGGAGCACATAAACTGTTTCTGCCATTTGTATTTTCCTCTGCAAAAAAGGAATCTCAAGGCTAGCAAGTTGATCCCACTCAGCCAAGCTGGTTCATATGCACACTGTTCATGTGAGGTGTCCAAGTTCCAGTCCACACCTGAAAAAGAAAGCTTCATTTAACACCACGCTTCCTGGCTGCTCAAAACAGTTCAGAAGTCCAAATTACCCTGCAGTGCTTACGGTTTTCACTGCACCCAAGAAATGCCCCAACATCAGACAATATGGCAATCACCTGTCAAACTACACCGAGTTCCTTTCAGCACTTGTTTGAGCCTGCTGTAATTCAGGTGAGAAAAGAGGTAAATGGGGTTTTAATCTTTGTGCCTGTACTTTTTCACCTTGGCTAACGCATCCATCTGCTTCTTCCTTTCCATTGAGAGAAAAACAAAAACCAAACCTAAAACACCCACCCCAACTTGATTTCTCTTCGATTTTGCTATGAAGGAAAGCATGCTCCTTATGCCCACTAGTTCCTCCATCATAGCAACACTCACGTGAGATATCTCTAACTGTTCCACAGGAAATTAAGCGCTCCCTCTAAACATGCTAGGTCCCCTGTCAAGGAGAATTAACAGGACTGTGTATACGTGCAAAATTATTTGCAAGGACAATGCCTGAAGGCCTCCAGCTTTCAGAGCAAGAGACACTCTTCCCTCTTTCCC